CACACACACACACACCTGTATGCCCGAGAGAGCGAGCGACCTGCCTATCCCGCAGCCAGCAGCAGCCAAAGCGCCCCCGCCGCCGCAGCGAAGCAGGCACCTACACAAGGCCTGGGACTCTAAGTTGGGCGCCGTAGTGTGCGGGAGGCCCTGTGCGTAGCCTTGTAGACCATCCCGCTGTTAGAATTAATCTAGTTTGCCTTGATGTTGTCAAGACGTCTTTTCTCCTAAGGGCTGTTTAGCGAGGTGCATTATCCTAGCCAGAGTCTGTCGTACCGTGCTCATTAAAGATAATGTGTCTTCTTCCAAGTGTAAATATTCTATGAGTCATTAAACCTATATCCTTGTCCTTTTAAGAAAGCCATCAAAAGAGAGAAAATGAATCCTGTTCAGTGATTAAAGTCATTAGCTCTACATCAATTTCTTTCTTTTTTAAAAAAATCATTCATACATTCATAATAAATAGTTCCAATAGTGAGATAGAAAAATTAATAGATAATTTATCATCTCCACAGACATTTAATTCATTACAATAGTTTTAGAATCAATTTTACTTTATATTTAAATAAATGTATATTGTGCAATATCGGAGGCAATTTTACATTCAATAGTCATTCAAATCTTGTCGCTGTTCCACGTAAATAAAAACATTTTGGTGTAAAATCGCCTCACATATATATCTCTTAAATAGTCCAACTTCTTTAATACTTAAAAAACAATAATTGGCTTCCAATACAAAATGTCTGCATTAACTTTTTTTTTTATTTAACAAAAAAGGAAATCATTTCCAATTGCTCACCTGCCTTTCCTTTGAGAACAGAAGTGGATAAGTATGGGAAGTGTTGGTCATTGGGTAGGAGAACCACCGCAGACGTACGACCGAGTGTAGGTATAAAGGATGAAGCAAAGTGATGTATCCGTGCAATGGAGAATGAGACGGGAGCGGTGCACTTGTCACATCACCACCACTCATCACACACACACACAAACACACACACACACACCGCCACCCCACCTCAGCACCACCACAAACACCCACGCCCACCGATCGCGGGAAGGCAATTCGCTGCCTTCTTACACATCTCATTAAGGGCTTCTGATTTAGTAGGCTATCTTGTATATAATAAAAAAAAAAAGTTTTTTGAATTTATTTTGTGAATTTTTCTTGACTTGATATTTTTAAGTTACTCTCTTCGACTGTCTTTCATCTCCTTCTGCATGGATTAGCCAGTAGTTTGTATGACTAGAAAGACCCAAGGTACCAAGTTCTCGACTTCATAGAAATTAACGATATGGTATTTAGACCTCCCTTCCTATGAACTGTTTAAGATTTTTCATCAATCTTGATATTCCTTATTTCCCCCACCCAAAAAAAAAAGAAAAAAATCTTCTTGATGATCTGTCTCCCAAATCAATATTTTGAATCTAACACTTCCTACTACACAAGCAGTTGACCGATCAGAACCGCTTGTGTTCGCAACGCATTGTCTGCACTTGCCTTAACCAATAGAGTGCACTGTAGATTCCTTTTTGGACCAATGGGAATGCCTGAGAGAGCCACTCAGCAGGTCATGTTGCACTCCCCTCCCCCCACTGCCCCTTTTCCTTCGACCCTTGCTACCTGCCTGCAGGAACGCCAACTGCTTTGCCTGCTTGTACGAGGCGGAAGCAGTCCGTTGTCCCTCTCTCCCAACTCCCGAAACCTCTGATTTGCAACCACCTTCACGTGTCGCATGCTGATCTCCCCGTCCCTGACCCTCTCCCTGATCCCCATACCTTCCCTCCTCGCTTCTCCCTGTCCCTCCGTCTCCCTGATCCCTGCCACACCTTAGTAACTCCCCGTTTTTGGCCCCCGCTCTCCCCCTCCCGCACTTCCGCCACCGCAGACCGACGTTCTTGCATGAAAACTTACCAACCCTCAGCCATGAGCCTACACGTCATCGTCAGCCCCAACATGACAACATGACGTATCCCCCTCCCTTCCCTTCTCCCTTCCGCCCCTCTAAACCCCCGTCCCATGATGTCCACCATTGTTGTTGTTGTCTGCGAAAGCCCAATAGCTGTCTCCCCGCTGTTCCCACCCCCTGCTCTTCATTGTCGTTTGTAGATTTAAGGATTTTTACAAGCTTCCAAATGGGTGATGGATTCAGTCTGGTAGTGGATGATTTCTCGTCACTTGTCCTATTAACTGATGACTATTACTGCGGCTATTGACCCACATGGAAGTTTTGCACGTAGAAGTAAGGTAGATTTAAGCATTTATCCTTTAGATACTTAGAGATCAAGCTCATTAATTTATGCATTTAGTGTCAAGTTTAAAGTTGTCTAAATTTGCTTTTTAATAATAAAAGTACAGAAGTCATCAAGTATAAAAGAGAAAGTTTATAATCTACATCTATATATCTATATCATGAATGTATGTTTTCTAGACCGAGAGAGGTAACTAAACCCCCGTGAGGTTAGGTTCAGAGACTATTGATTCAAGGCTATACCTTGCATGGCATGAGGAGAGGCACGCATGGAAAGCAAAGGCTATATAAGGAAGACTGGAAAGCTCTCTGGGCTCTTGCGAGATCTCCAATAGATGGCGTTGGTGCTTCAAAGTGCAAAACACTAACCTCACCTACTGACTGGTCGCGGGAATCCAGAGAGTTTTTCTGCCTTTCTTGTATAGCCTTTGAAGGAAAGGGTCTGAAGGCAACGCTCAATACATTGCTACAATTTTGACAAATAACTCTGCCACAGAGCATGGGTCCCGCTGTATCTGAAAAACCACAAAGATGTGTCTGTTTGTGGCTTTATATTATTTCTGAGATAAGTTAATGTAACCAAAAAAAAAAAAAAAAAGAAGGCCCTTTATCCAAAATGAACAAAATGAACAGCTCTACAAAATGGGTTAATGTAAGTGTACTTTCTCTGTACTCATCTATTTGAACAGCACTAATTATGGGGGTATTGAGTGTTAGCCGTGGTCCAGTCAGTATAAAAGTCTCCATTATTCCAGAATTATTGCATCTATCACTTATTTCCGTTTGTTAATAGCATTTTTATTAGCTACCACCATCACCACTCCCACGTTTCCTCATAATGATATCAGTTTATCTTGGTTTTTATTTTAGTTCCTTGTATCATTTATGATGCTGATGTTTCTTGTATACTTTTATTTACTTAATTTGAAAGTGGAATCTGAAATATATATATATATATTAAACAACTTACCGGTCAGACAAGCACATAGGACATGGATGATAGTGCTGTCGTGAAGACTACGTGTCAATCATATATACATCATGCATTTAACGCTAAAATCCTTGATAGTAAAGTGAGACCTGTTAGAACAAATCGCACGCTATTTGCCAAGTTACTTGAACAGCACTCAGCACTACTCTGCTCAATCTCGTCCCTCTATCACTGGTAACGCTTGCATGTGGCAAACGGTCTTCGTGGCTGGGTAAGCCATGTGCCCAACTGAGCAGTGTACTCTAGTGTCAACTGAGATAACCAGGTTAATCATGCATGTTACCTTGAAGAAACGAAACTAAAATGAGTAAAACAATAACAGTCTATGAGGCTTGTATGGAATGTTTGCAAGTGAATGCTAGCTTACACTTTATCTGCTGAAGTTCATCTTTCAAAGGACAACCTTCAGGCAGGTAATAAGCAACAACTCCTCAACCATCCCTCCACCTAACCCTTCTCTGATCCAGTGATTCGTCAGCAATTAGTGCTTTGGCTTTTTTCTGCGTAAACCACTGCTCGATCCCTTCCTCCCAAATCAAGTCATTCTATTAAAAGCCATTAACAGGGGAGATCTCAGCTTTACCATCCTTGCCATGGCCTTGCTGCCTGGAGGTGAGAGGCGCACGAGTCCCCCTTCAAAATTCCCCCGGGGCAGCTCTCTCTGTCCACCTGCACTTAGTCCCATAGCCTAGAGTGCTTGCTCCATGAAGGAGCTGTAATATATGCTCCCTACCACAACTGCGTGGTGCCTCTCTAGGTCTTTTATGCTAGAGTCCCAAGTTAGATTCGTAATCAAGAGGATTTTTTTTAATCATATTCTCTTAGCTGGCTCATTTAGCAACTTTAGTTAGTTTGCTAGTGGCACACTCAAGACTGCACCTGCAGATCTTAGCAGATAACATATTTCCTTGACACAGAAGATTCTCTATCTTTGACATGACGGGCCTTGAAATTTCAGACAGACACTGGCCGAGTCAGATGCAATCTTAGTTGACAAAGCACCTCTTGATTGTTAGTCATCACATTCTCTTACAATAGACAGAAATTCTGCCATTTTCCGCAAAGATCTAAGTTGGCATTAGAAGAACCGTGTGAGAGACTGCCTTGATGAGTAGCTTCAACCTTCTTCACCCACCCTCAGCATCGCGTGTGTATTTTCTGAAGGTACCAGCTGAACGCAAAGCATCAGCTGGCGCACGGTAAGCACAGCACAGCACCGGAGACCAGGTACCCGATATCGACACGCCTTCTTCGGGACGACCTTACATTAGTTCTCTAGAATATGATAATCACTGCGCTTGCATAACAAAACCTCCCCCCCCTACTCCTCCGCCTCCTCTCGCTCGCCGCTTCTGAATCTATCCCTCTGTCTCCTATTTCGTCACCCCGGCACTCCAGTCATCATCTGCTTGTAGGCTAACAGGAGGAAGATTTGAACCTTAATCTCTCAAGAGGATTCGAGAACACTGTGATTACAGAGAGCGTAATGAGCGGCTCTCGCGAGAACTACTGCAGTTACTAGGTTGCCTGTATCATCTCCACAGCAGAAATCATTAGTCCTGAGCCATGACTTGATGTATCGTTGAAAGAAAGTCCAAATTAACGGCCCTTTTAATGGCTTGGTCAGAGAGGCGACTGACTGTTGACCCGGCTCCTTAACAACTTGATCTCTCGTTAGGCTTAAGGTGTAAATTCTCTTCTTATAAATTTGTATCACCACAACTATTTCATTATACCTTTTTTCTCTTTTTATTCTTCAGGATTTCACAATGGATTTCTATTTTCGGCAATTGTGGACAGATCCACGATTAGATTTCAGTGCACATAAAGGTTTGGAAGAAATCCAAGTCAGCACAGACTACACCAAAAAAATTTGGGTGCCCGATACGTTCTTTCCAAACGAAAAGCGGGCATACTACCACACAGTGACCACGCCCAATGAACTCTTGCGGATCTCATCTAACGGCACAGTGTTGAGGAGTATAAGGTAAATACAGTTGAAAGTCATTCTCCTCCGTCTGAAGGTGTGCATTCCATGATAAGGAGGAACTCCCAGAAACGACCTCGAGATCGACTGCGACGGTGCAGGTTTAGTTCTGAGCATTGAAATTAGGGGAACTCGGGAACTCTCTTAAATACAATCTTCCTTTCCGCTGCTTAAAATTGATGCAAGTCAATAATGAAACCGTTCTTTACACAAGTCTCTTGCCCTGTCCTGACGATGAGATACCTTGCAGATCATATATGACTGATTGTAATCTCTGCTGACGGATTTAGTAGTACACTCGCGTGCGACGAAAACATATGCAATATAGAATTTCTTTAGCCTTCTTCTCGACCCCTTCCAAGCCTAACAAACAACCCTCTACACCATAATAGATCGAGCTGATATCCTGCAAGGTACATCGATGGCACCTTTCCTCATAACCCTTCCCCCCCTCTCCCCCGGACGGTAGTCTCGTTATGGTAACTGTTGGGCTTCCAGGCCTGCGTAGAACCAGAGCCCGTGGACTTGTCAGCAGCTTCCCGAAATCTTCTCAGCCAACGCCTTCCTTTCCGCGCCTTGTTACCTTAAGCATTAACCTTGTGCCTCCTATGCGCCTCATCGGGGTCTCCCAGCGGACTACCCGGGCATTATGTAGGGTGTGCTTGCGGCCAGGTTAACTGTTAGGTCACCACCTACAAGCTTTCGGTATAGCACTGGATCTTCCTGTAATGTAAGATTGCCTTCCTCTTCATGAACTATCGAGCTTGACTCAAGTCACTCCACGTGTGCTCTTTCTCACCCTTACCCGACTCTCTTTCTCTCTCATGTATGATGCAAAAAACTTCCTCTGTGTCTGTCTCTTTGGAATAAATGTTGCTTTGCTTATAGAAAACTTTAGCAGCTGTGCACAGAACCCTCCCCATGAGCAGTCCCTGACCTGTTAAATGTTGCAACGAACCTACCCATCGCTTGAATATCCAAATTCGCTCCCTTCCCTTCTTCCAGCCCTTACAACAAGAAGAAAACATTGTTTTCCTGCGCTGATTCTCAGACGAATAGTAGAGATTACGTGCATTTATTACTCGGTATCACCTGAGGAATGCCACCCTGAGCTGCGTACGAGGGTTGGCTCGTTACTTGGAGACTACCTTTGCCTAAGCTCCTTTTCCCTCGCTCTGCCGCCCAAAAACATGACTTTGCTGCCTACAAAACTCCTTCAGATTGGTGACACTTCCCTTCCAGTTGGCTGCCTGAGTGCAAAGGCCCTGGTCGTATGTGTGCCTCTGTTACTGGAAGTTAACCCGTATATTATATTCTTGCCCATTCTATCCTCATACCGCGTGTAGTGCTGCAGTGCGTACGTTTATAAACAGTGAAGCGTGCTGAAGTACTTGGCTATCTGTCCAGGTTTTTACGTCTTCATTGCCTGTCCTTTATTGAAAAAAATATATATATCAATACGCAACGTCCATGAATATTTTTTTAAAAATAAACTCACATGTCTGCCTCTCAGTTCTTCTTCTGTTTTCTATGATTTTGTAGATTTGAATTTGTTATTAGGTAGTCAAGCGATTTTCATCACCAAGATCGACATTTGAACATCCAAAACTCTCATTCTCACGACCGATAATGTCACAGATCCATCGGTAAAATAGATAACCCCAAGACAAAGCTATGAAAACTAATGGAGTTCATATACAGAAAAAGTCGTACAAGTCACTGTCCAAAAATAATAGATTCTCCCTCTATAAAAATCAATTTCTAACTGAAGAAAAATACTCCACAGTACCAAGTGTGAAGCAGTTGAGGGTGCGTTTATCATACTGGAATATAAGACTAGAAATATAAAGAAATCACCCCCAAAAATACATGGTACATATCTCCAATCGTTCTAATGGTTCCCTGACATAATACATGCAGAATTAAATACCCTTAGAGTCATTTGATACCAAGATTATTTGTAGCATTCAGTAATTCAGATGTATGAAGATTACACACCGGAACAAAATTCACAAAATAAGAAACAGCATAACGACAGCAAAATAATGTAGAATGATGAAAGTAATGCTAAAATAATGAATTGTCATTTACATGTGTTATAACTACACATGTGTAAATCTGACTGCTACAAACGTTATCCCCATATCCATACAAGCTTACTGAACGTTACCCTTCAGTTTTTTCTGTGTACTGAAATCTGAAATCCACGGAAAGAAAAAAACTTATCTAACACTCAGTACAAGAAAAAAAGGAAGCCTTCCCCATGTTTCTTGGCCTCTTTTCATCTTCAAAAAAAATGATAAAAGAAAAATCAAAGAAAAACTCTGATGAACAAGAGTTGGAGTTCGCCCCAAGAACAATCGATATTTCCACTGTTAATCATAATGTGTAATTTTCACATTTTCAGGCGGACGTGGCCCCAGCATCCATTCTATTACATGCCACAATATACTCACTCTGTTCTCCTGTCTGGTTGGAATGCCATCATTAAGGATGATGGATTGATATCACCATCTTGTTCTACAGCTCTCCTTTTTATTATTTCTTTTTTTCACACCTTTGTTCGTTCCTGTTCTATCTCTTGTCTTTTGCCACGACACGCCAATACACCCCGTAGCAGTACTTCGGCACAGACCATGGTACATGCCTGGGTCCCTGGCAGGTCTTGGTTGCGGCCAGGATCAGCTTAAGGTCTACCATGACACTTCATGGTGGTTTCAGATTGTTAATCTCATGTTCTGTCTATAGATGAGTATGTATGTATTTGTAAATATCAAATGTCTTATTTATTGGTAGTTTGTTCTAGATAATGTAATGTTTTAACATTTCAGTAATCCAAGGATTAATTCTCCTGGATGCAGGTCGTAATACCAGTGTAATGTCCATTTTCAAGAACTCAAAAGTACTTTTCATAAAGGATTCTCTAGCAGCTGCCCAACCTAGCCACAACCAATGATCCTTATGTGCTGCTCACAGTGTCCTAGATCTTGTACTCAGAACTTGAGCTTGCACAGTACACCGTGTCTTCACTCACTCACCTCCCACTGTCTGTCTTGAATGTAACGTTAAGCGTCTTCCCTCGTCTTCTTTCCCATTTCTTTTGTCTTCTTCTTTATCTATTATTCGCCTTTAATCATTTCCCTTCTCGTGCCTCTTTCACAGTATGATTGAAGAATCGCGTGGATGTTTGCCTGCGTATTACCGACTTGTATCGACTCATATCTACTTTCTGACCAACAGTTACCATCTAATTTGCATAAAAAAAGAGAAAAAAAGTAGTCAGACAAAAGAAGTCATTATCTCAGCTTTAAAAAAAAATAGCACTTCTTGAGATCTTCATCTGACACTTGCTTTTGTTTTCTCCGATCTTCAGGACTTTACTCTCGACTTTTATTTTCGTCAACACTGGACCGACCCTCGCTTGTCCTTCCCCGACCGCGGGGGTCTGGACGAACTCACGGTGGGGTCGGAGTATCTGCAGAAAATTTGGGTTCCAGACACCTTTTTTGCCAATGAGAAGAAGTCCTATTTTCACATGGCAACCACCTCTAATGAGATGCTCAGAATCACCAGCCAGGGCAATGTGTTGCGGAGCATCAGGTAAGACAGTGAGGAGCCAGGACAGGTAGATTCGCCACCTCCTCTCCCTGCCATCATCTCCACCAACACAGCTTCACGGTGAGATGAGGGCGACCCTAGCAATGACGTCCCTGGGCTACCTGATCGCTGTTTCATTTGAATGGATTTTCCCCGTATTTTGCCTTCTATTTTTGTCTGTTTGTCTATTTGTTTGGTGTCTTTTTTCTTTGTTAGTGTGTCTGTGTGAGTGAGTGGGTGTTTGCATGCATCTATACGCGCATGTATGTGGCGTAAAAGCGTGTGTGTGTGTGTGTGTGTGTGTGTGTGTGTGTGTGTGTGTGTGTGTGTGTGTGTGTGTGTGTGTGTGTGTGTGCGCATACGTGCGTGTGCGAGCGCGCTTACGTGTGTACGTGCGTGTGCGCGCTTGCTTGCGTGCGTACGTGCATATGCGTGCGCGCTTGTGTGTGTACGTGCGTGTAAGCGTGCGTGTGTGTGTGCACATGAATGTACGTGCACGCGAGTGTGAGTAGTGCATGCGTGCCAGTGTGAGTCCGTGCGTGCCTGTGCGTATGCGTGTATTTGTGTGTTTATGCGTGTGCGAATAAAAGATACCGTAAATGTTACCGTTTTTTTGTGTGTACGTATATGTGCAAAGCAACATATACAAGAGCAGCACATGCAGCGCGCGGGCATCGGTGTGAAAGTCTCCCGGCTAAGTACAGGTTGTGTCTCAGAAGGCCCAGGGACGGCCCGCCAGCTGGACTCTTCAGCAAAAGCCTCAAGAAGTCTCGCGTCTCTCCTTGTTCATCACAGCTAATGTTCTTGCTTGTCACTCATGCAAGGGAGTCAATGCAGCTTCGTATGTTACACCAGACAAAGTCAGGAGCTAGTTAAGCTGAAAAAAGGGAAAATTATAAGAAAACATAATGATAAACTTGGCCAATATGAACAAGGTGACGTGTGCTGAGACCGTCACTATACGTACTTGGCTTCCCAAATTCAGTGTTCTTATCCTTTTTCCCAATTTTCCCTTTTTTTCTTTTTTATATGTTTAGGCTTGTATCTTTCAGATTTTTTTCATCAAATACACTTGCATACTTGGACAAGGAACATGATCATTTAAATACTAGGGGGACCAAATTAGGCTCAAATATCAGTCAGAGTCACTTCCAATGCAACTTTGTTTTCCTTAGCTTTTGCTTTCCCCCGAGCTGTGTCTAGGGTAGTGAGAGGGTCATAAAAGGGACTTAGGAAAGAAAGTCTTCAGAAGAGAGGTAAGTCTTCCCCAGATCGCGAAGCATTCATGGTGTTCCTTCACATAAGATGAAGAGGGATTTTCGTCCCATTCATTCCCGCTCTCATTGATCTCAAAGGAATTCTTAGATGTGAGTTTTTGGGTCTTCAGACTAACAGGTATTGTTTCAACTTCCAATGGCTTCCTTGCAATTTGATTGATTTTTGTTCTTTTTATTTCGTATTATTTAAGATTATGTTCCTTTGGGAGTCACATTTTGCATTAAAATGCATTGCTAATTCCCATACTGTGCTCTAGCCATCGTTATTAAATAATGATGAGATTTAAATAAATAATGTCTTTCTCCCACTAAATAATCATGATTCTGACCGCAATGATAACTGTCATGACAAAATATTTTTATTTCAAATAAAGCGGCAAATTCCTTCACGACCCAAATGTTCTTATTGTTCCAGTGATCCCTTTGCTTTGTTCATGTGCCGTGGAATGATTGTTCCGTAGTCCTGTGTACATTCTCCCCCACACTGCTAGGCCCACCACGTCCCTCTGCCCACAGCTATTGTTCATATACAGATTATAGTATCGTATTTGAGCGCCATGTATAATTTAGCGAAAGATCCTTTCATCAAAGAACATAATTTAAATGTTTTTTTTAAACGATTCATTATGCTTACATGCAGTTCGCATTGTGAGCAAACTTTCTCCCAAGATAATCAATAATTCATACTTAATTGTACAATAATTGATATAACAGTCTTATTTTGAAAGTCATCAGCGCTCTAATACAGAAAAAAGGCATAGACATTCTGTCCCTGAGAACAATTCAGTGGGCATCAAATGCATTATTTCTTTTTTTTAATCTTTCGATCAGCCTCACCTCAGTTAAAGGCCGAGCTGGTGCTACTTTTCAATTTCCAAAGACCGAACTAACTTCGATTTTTTCTCCTTGTTTTTTCTCCCACCATCTGCCCTCTGGTAACGCTGTGCCCGTGCTCCTCCTGGACGACGTCCCTCGTGCCCTTGGAAAATGTATTTTTTCGTCAACGCCACCCGCAGACTGACCATCACTGCCTCCTGCCCCATGAACCTGCAGTATTTCCCGATGGACCGACAACTCTGCATCATCGAAATTGAAAGCTGTAAGTAACTTTTTATGGTTTCGTACTTTTTTCCCTCGTTCTTTATTTTTATTTTCATCGGGTTAAGGAAAGGTTAGAGCATTCCGAAGTGGGAACCGCGACTTGGGAACGGCTGGGATCCGGATTTCCAAGTGCGTGGATTGGAGGAGGAGCACCCATGTCCTCAACAAAAGTCGGGAGGGAGGTATATTTACAGTCCTTTCGAGAGATATCGTGACGCTAACCTTTATCATGAACGAATAACGACAAGAACTGATAAAGAAAGGGAATGAGAAACGCTGATGACACCTCATAACGGAAAGAAATGGACAAATAAACAGGAAATTAAGTCAAATATGATTACGAAAAGGAGCATGGATTATGCAGAGTTAAAGGGGAAGCTCCAACATTCATTGCTCTAATACAAAGAACATTTTGCTTTCGGCGAAGGGGGAGTATTGTAATTCATTTCATTTCATTTGTAATACATGCAAACGACTTCACTTGTTAGAACACCAAGGCTAAATCTTGGATAAAGTCACGTACAATGGAGATACAAGCAATAGCACAAAAAGCTAAATGTAAATGAGAACAGGGACAAAGAAAATGAATTAAATCAAACTAAAATATTATAAGAAAAACAGTTGCTGTAAGTCATCAGTCAACCAGAACAAAAGCCAGTGGTAGATAAATGTTCATACTCGGAATTGACTATAATGCTGAGGTAGGAGAAACAGAGAATATGGAGAGGGAGAGAAAGAGAGAGTGGAAGTTGAAGAGTAAAAGGAGGACGGGAGAAGAGGGAGGGAACAGCGGTAAATCAAAAGTAGTAAAGACAAATCTTTGAAACGATAGGATTTAGGGTAACGCGGAATTAATTGCATAGAAAACATCGGTCAAATTGAGAGAACGAAGTATTCACGAGGGGAGACTTATGAGCAAGGAAAGAACTGCATAAAAAATAACCTCGAAAAAGGGGAAAGTGAGGGTATATAAGCCTAACTTTTAATAATTAAAAAAAAAAATGCACAGACTGCGGGATCAGACATTATTCGTATCTTTTTTACTAATTCAACGCATTGCTCCATAATATGTATTGTCAGACTATCTCATATATATAAAAATGTTACATAACTAATTCTTAAAATGTGTATATATGCCTGTACGTTCAGGTATGTAAAAAAAATAGTCCTGACACAGAAAGAGATCCATCAAGGTTAATGTAAACATGGAGCGGGGAAAAAGGGAGAGTGCGAGGGGGAACTAAAGGAGACAATATGGACCAAATTTGCTGTATGATGAAAAATAGGGATAGGATGTGCGGGGGGAGGAGGGGAGGGGAGAAGGGAGAAGGAATGGGATCGAAAGAGGGTGAGAGAAGGGGAAATGAACCGCTGATTAAGGGCCTTTTAAAGGCATCGGGAAAGAGAAAGAGAGTTTATATGAAAGTTGAAAGAGGTCGAGGCAATTATTGGGAAGGGAAAGGAGATAATAAGCAGGTCGGCGAATATGAAAACGAAACCGGAAATAACAACACTAATATGGAAGATCTAAATTGCGAAAAAAAGGTGACCGAAAAATCATCAATCACGAACGAGGAGACAACGCAATAAGAATGATAATAAAAATGAAACGAAAGACTAGAAGAGTCTGGGAGAAGAAAGACTACCAAGGATAGACCTCAGATTGCCCGTGGCCGAAGTGTGGCCAGAACAGGACGAGGGGAGAACGAGGGAATATGGAACGTCGAACAGACCAGAGATTCACCTCGTAGAACCAGAAGTACGATTTCCCCCTCGCGTTTTTCTCTTTCTTTCTCTCTCTCATTCTTTTTTTATGGAACAGGGAGATGGAGTAGGCAGGAGGAAAGAGGGGAGGGGCAGGGCGAGGGGAGAGGGGGCTTAGATAGAGATTAAGAGGATCAGAGGGGAGAGGGAGGAGTGTTCTGTCTACTACAGCTGAGGGCTAGAAGGAGATAAGGAGTGAATGAATACCGATCACTCAGGGTTTCGTGGAGACGTTGTGTATTAAGGAGAGAGAGGGGAGGGGGAGGAGAGAAATGAGAGAGAGAGAGGGGGGAGGTGGGGGGGGAGAAGAGAAAGAGAGAGAGAGAAGGGGGGGGAGGGAGAATGAGAGAGAGAGAGAGTGGGGAGAGAGAGAGAGATGAGAGAGAGAGAGGGGGGGGGGAGGTGGTGGGGAGAGAGAATGAGAGAGAGAGAGAGAGAGAGATGAGAGAGAGAGGGAGATGAGAATTGAGAGAGAGAGAGAGAGAGAGAGAGAGATAGAGATAGATAAGGAATATCAACGGTAATGCGGGCAGTGTTGTTGTATTGCTGTATTCCCGTCACTAAATTACTCATTGGTATTATTTTCATTTTATTGTTATTGTGTTATTATTGTTGTTATCATTATCATTTATATTTCCAATTATTTTGTTATTTTATGTTATTATTATTATTCTATCATGTTTTTTATTATTTTTATTATCATATCTATTATATTTATTATCATTGTTACTATTGTTATTATTGTTATTATTATTATTATTATTGTATCATCATTATTATGCTATTATTATTATTACTATTATTATTATATTATTGTCATTATTGATATTATTATAATTATCATTATTATTATTTATTATCATCATCATTATTATTCTTATTCCAATCATTATTATAATTATCATTATTATTATTATTATTATTATTATTATTATTATTATTATTATTATTATTATTATTATTATTATTATCATCATCATCATCATTACCATTATTATCACTGTTATCATCATCATTATATCATTTATTTATTTTACTATTACAAATTTAATTTCTATTCTTATCGTTATTTTTATTCCCACTGTCTTAAACAAAGTTTGTTATATTATTGTGACTAATTGATACTTGATATCATCAATAATAATATCATATTAATCAAGACCATGATCACCCGATATTGATTTTTTTTTTTTTTTTTTTTGGTTATCATTCATTATGAATATAATTTTGTCATATTTCATATTATCAGATTTATAACCATTGTCATTAACATTACCATCATCACTTCAGTATTTTAGGGACTGCCCCTACTGCTGCTTCTTAGTTCCTCAAAATTATCTTAATTATTATCGCAAATCTCATCCTAATTTAAATATGATGTGACGCAATATCATTATCATTAGTAATTGTACTCGTTATTAGGAGGAAAATTCGACGAGATTTAGCGGGAAATGGAGGAAGTGAGGGAAAGGTGGAAATGGAAAGGGAAGGAGAGAAGCAAATAGTGGAAGGGAAAAAGGAAGAGAGAGAGAGAGACGGAGGGAGAGAGGAGGGAAGGAGGGAGAGGAGAGAGAGGGGGGGGGCGGGAGGGAGGGAGAGCGAGCGAGAGAGAGAGACGAAAAAGGAAAATGAGAAAGGCAGAAAGAAGGGTGGGAAGGCAAGAAGAGAAGAGGGAGTGTACAAGAAATTAGGAGAATAGAGACGGAAAGAGAGAAAAAAAAGCTTGAGAGGAAAATAACAAGAGAGACAAGGAGCATAGAGAAGAAAAGAGAGAGGAAAGGGTGGAGAGGGAGAGAGCAAGAGAGACAATAAAGGAATAGACAGTAATTGATGAACTGAACATCTCCCTCTGAAAAATCCTTTATCTCTCACTCCACTTCTCTTCGTATCATCTCTATGACCCACTTGCATTATATCTGAGTGTATGGGCATAAGAGATATATCTGTATGGGCATTATTAATCCATTCATCAGCGTATATTTGTCCTACTAACCCACATGAATAAAGTAAAGGTCTATAATAAGATCTTATGATATATAATTGTGATGGTAAATAAATATATTTACGATATCTGTATCATTTCAGACGCAATGTAAACAAAGAGTATCTGAATCACATACGTTATGCGCATCCAGTATGAGATGAGAACGAAGCCGAGTAATCAGTAGACAAACACCTGGATAATCTGTTTACCTTTTGTAATAGCTCATCAGTATAGAGTTCCCTCTTTTTCTGGTTCCTTTTTCTTGCATTATCTGAATGTGTGTATGTGTTCGTGAATGCGCCACGCACCACACACACACACACACACACACACACACACACACACACACACACACACACACACACACACACACACACACACACACACACACACACACACACACACACACACACACACACACACACACACACACACACACCACACACACACGCACACACACGCACGCACACACACACGAGCATTTATTTACAAAGCATTCTCTCAACGTTCCTTGCATCTCATAATGTTCCCTCGGTCTTTTCGTCAGTAGCGACCCTAACAGAGATGTAACCCACATGTACCGTGAAGGGTTTAGTGCAGTTACATACAGCGGCGGACTGTTAATCTAAAGTTGGACAGTTTTGTAGTCTGACTGTCCTGTCAACTCTGCACGATAGCAACTTCGGGATGGGGAGGGGGTGGGGTGGGGAGGAGGTGAAGGAGAGGTGGAGAGGGGTTGGTGAGGGAGGGGAAGGAGGAGGTGGAGAGGGGTAGGTGAGGAGGTGAGAGGGGAAGGAGGAGTGTGGGGTAGGTGAGGAGGTGGAGGTGAAGAGGGGTAAGTGAAGAGATAAGGAGGTGGAGAGGAGTGGGGTAGGTGAGGAAGTGAAGGGGGAGGAGATGTGGTAGGGGTGAGAAGTGACAGGGAGGAGGAGAGGGGTGAGGTGAGGAGGAAAGGAGAGGGGTGAAGCGAAGGGAGAGAGGTCTGGAACTATTAGTTCAACTTCAATTAGGTCCATGCTTTCGAGGCGAGTCCCTACTTTGAACACATATATTACATTTCTCAAACCGTTGACAATCATGAACACAAACCAAAATCTTTTCTCTAAATTAAAAGAAAAAGGAAAATCAAAAAGCATAGATGGGCAGTAGAAAGCTTTCGCCATACATTACCTCAATACGGCCAATCATAATCATTTTTGAGATACTGATTAGAGTCTTGTTAATGAATAAAATATAACTATTAGTCTTGT